TCCAAAGAAGATATTCACTGGCCATTAAGTACTTGTAAAGATGTTCATTACGGAAATGCAAATCAAAATCACAAAGATGCACTACTTCACAACCACTAGGATGGTTATAATTAGAAAGATGAACAGTAAAGATGTGGAGAAATTGGTACCCACCAACGTTGCTGGTGGGGATGCAAAATGGTACACTTTGGCAGTTCCTCACAAGGTTAAACAGAGTTACCATATGACTCAGCTGTTCTCCTCCTAGGTACATAACCAAGAGAAAAGAAAACATATTGATAGAAAAACTTGCACTTGAATGTTCATAGTAGATTTATTCATAATATCTAAAAAGTAGAAACAATATAAATATCTGTCAACTGATAAATGGATAAGTAAAATGTGGTATATCCATACAATGTAATATTATTGGGCTATAAAAAGGAAGGAGGTACTGATACATGCTACAACATGGTTGAACTTCAAAAACATCATGCTAAGTGAAAGAAGACAGATGCAAAAGGCCTCATATTTTATGATTTCATTTATTTAAAATGTCCAGAATAAGCTATCTGTAGAGACAAAAAGTAGATTAGTGGTTGTCAAGGGCGGCTAGAGGGGAGAGTGGAGCAGAGAATAGGGACTGGGAATACTAATAGACTACTAATAGGCATGGAATTTCTTTTTGGAGTGATGAAAATGTTCTAGAATCAGTGGTGATAGGTAACACAACTCAGAATATACTAAAAACTACTCAATTGTATACTCTATGGTATGATACGACTGGTGCATTCTATATGAACTCTTGGTAAGTAAATTATATAATATCTCAAGCTGTTATTAAAAAGTATGAGGGCGTTATCTGATGGTATGCAAGATGTGCTAAGTGAAATAAATACCATTTGGGTAAAAGGAGGAGAGCACAAAAATACATAATTATATTTGCTTACATATGCAGAAGAAATCCTGGAAGAGTAAAAGGGAAACTGACGACAATAGTAGTTACCTTGTAGGCTGAGTGCAGTGGCTCACACCTGTAATCCTGGCACTTTGGGAGGCCAAAGTGGGAGGATTGTTTGAGGCCAGGAGTCCAAGACCAGCCTGGGCAACATCGAAAGACCCCTGTCTACAAAAAAAAATAAGAAAAATTAGCCAAGCATGGTGACACATCCCTGTAGCCCCATCTACTGGGGATGCTGAGGCAGGAGGATCACTTGAACCCAGGAGTTCAAGTCTGCAGTGAGCTATGATCACACCACTGCACTCTACCCTGGGTGATGGAGCAAGTCTTTTGGTATAGGTTGTTCTCAGGACTTATCTTGCATGTCCATTTCCAGGAATCAAGTATTTAGTAATTTGAATTAAAAAATTCACCGTCTATCTTCACAGGAGGTTAAGGTTTAGACCTATAAGGATTTTTACTATCCTGCCTATCGTTTATTCAAGATGGTTCATTTTTTAAGTGAATGTCATTATCTTAGGGGAGGTGCATGGAATTATTCATTTGTAACGAATAATTTTGTTTTCATTTAATTTAATATTATCTTGCTATGTTGCCCAGGGTGGACTCAAAAAGAGCCCTTTTTAAATGTTGAACATTTCATGACCTCCAAATAATAGTAGCTCTACATTTAGTCTCAGTTGATAGAGAAAATTCATAATAACATAAGCTTCTATAGACCTAAAAATTATATTTTAATATAAATTTATATTTATAAATTACATTATCTACATACGTGTGAAAATTCTAGTACATTAAGTGGAAACTTTTTTTTATTTGGTCTACAGATAATTCATGGTGCTTCTGTGAATTCATAGATCCTTTACAGTTGTTTAGTAGCCCCGCAAGGATAAAAGAATGGGAACTACTGAGTTCTTTTGGACCAGTTCCTGTGCTCCCAGCCTTTCTCTCCAGTTTTTACATATGAGAAAATTGAGGTCCAAAAAAGACTAACTAACTTGTTTGAGATCGCACATTTAGTTAGTAGCAAAAAAAAACTTACTGTATTTTCTGTTTTAAAAATGTAAAAGAATAAACACTTCTCTCTTAAGGACTAGCTTATCATAGAAGAATAATTGAATTACTGAGGGGATTCTTATGCAGCAGGCATTTGAAACACTGAAAAGATATGCTAAAAAGTCTGTTCATAAAAATATACTTACTTGTATATGCTGTGACAAATTGATTGTGGGATAGTTTTAATAATATATTTTCCTGGCTTTATTCTAGAAGAATAAACTTGAATAAGATTATTTTTCAGGCCGGGCGCAGTGGTGCACACCTGTTAATCCTAGCACTCTGGGAGGCCAAGGCAGGAGGATCACTTGAGGTCAGGAATTTGAGACCAGCCTAAGCAAGAGTGAGACCCTGTCTCTACTAAAAATAGAAAAAGTTAACCAGGTGTGGTGGTGCACACCTGTAGTCCCAGCTACTTGGGAGGCTGAGGCATGAGGATCCCTTGAGCCCAGGAGTTTGAGGTTGCTGTGAGCTAGGCTGACACCACTGCTCTCTAGCCTGGGCGACAGAGCGAGATTCTGT